CACAATATCCACTGCTTGATACCACATTATATTTGGTAAATTTGTTTTTGTTAGAACAAAACGTGCCTAACTGAAGAGACAACATTTTTTTGCAATGCTTTCTGCTAGTATCTTTCATTAGATTTTTTGTTCCAAGTGTTACTTGGAACTTTGTCTTCGAATTTGTTATTTCTCATCAATAATTTTACTGAAAGGAAATTCTTTTTAAGGTTCAATTTTATATATTTTTATTCTGTTACATTGAGATGAAGCTGTTACTTTTGCTGATTGCTAATTGCTAATTACATGTGTTTCTGCAACTAACTCTATATCAATGAATGTCAATGCTGGTCAGTATGTTTTCTTACCTGTTAGTTATTGCTTATTATTGATATAATACAATAGATGTTTTGTGAAGTGTCCATTTTCTTTTTGCGAGTAATTTAGAAGTGAATAAGGTCTGTACAAATCTCAACTAGATCTATGACTACCTGAGTGACTTTGAAGTAGGTTAATGGTTATGAGTTTCTGTTTCTTTCTTTTTTCCATGAGAAGTTCTTGGTGCTGGGATAGCTGATAGATTTTGGTATTTGCTGATAGAAATTATAAATGGAAATTAATATATCCTATACTGATTTTGGTGACAGAACTTAAAGCCCAAAGACATAACCATGGAAAAAGCTTTGAAGCTTTTGCTAAGTAAAGATGTAAGGCGATGTGGTCGACCTAAGCGCCAGCCACAGGTGGAAGAGGCCGTTGAGGCAACATAACATCACACTTGTTAGCAGATTAATGTACCATATAAGTCATTCTTTGATGAAGGCCCTCCTCAGGCTGTTTTTTATAGGAGGAATCGTGGAATACGAAGCTTATTTACCCCACACGGGCTTGGATACTGTCCAAGTATGAAGAGTTGTATATCTTGAGTGGCAAAGACAATTTTGTTAGTAGAAATTCCATTTCTGTAATCTCTTCTTACAATCTTTGTTATAGCATTAGGCAATAACTTGGCCATCCAAATGGTCTGTTTAATTCTCCTTTTTTTCTGCCTTGCTAAGATGTAAAGAGAGTGAAGGCATTTTCATTGGCAGTTAAAAGCCTCAATTTGCTGAACAGTGACATCCTTTTAGTGTCTAAATGAGAGCTTTCATATATTTGCTAAACAACAGTTAGTATTGCAAACATATCAGTTCTCGTTTAGATGATATTGTTTGACTGGACATGAATTCAATATTTGTTTCACTTGTACATATAATATAAATAACAGTCAAAAGAAATGATTCAAAAAAAACAATCAAAAGTTAAATTGAAAGAAATTCATCATATCAGAAATTGATTTGTAAATACAATGAATATTAACAACTACTGGAAGTTATGTAAGACACAGAACAGTAGAAAATATAGCATTGAATACTTACTGCTACCTTTTAAGGGTTGTGCCAGGCCAACATGGGCCAAGTAATATGAAACAGAGAGAGTATATCATTCATTATCAACAAAGTGAGTCCAAGACTCGGAATCTAAAAGTTTCTTTCCACTTCATATCCTTAAAAATAATTAGTTTCTACTTTCTACCTATTTTCTCATTTATCAAAAATAATAACTCCAAAAAATTTATTAAAAAAAAAACCTTCAAAATAATGACGGGAAGTAAGAGAATTATTTTAGTCGCAAAATGTTTTTCTCAATAATATAGTCAACAAATGTAAGTTACAGTTGGTGCATTTACCTATGTTTAGACATTAAAAGAATATATAAACAGAACTTTGTATAAATCTACAAAACATACTATATCACCAATAATCTCCACATGAACAGGTTCCATTTCTGAAGTGATGGAACCTCCTCACATCCCTAACAATGATCTCTCTATTCACAATCTTTGAGATAAATTTAGTTGCCTCATGGCAGTCATTGCATACCCTAAGGTTCTTTGCAATCCGTATGGGGGTTCCAGGAGGTGTATTGAGGATACCAAAAGCTATAGCTAATTTTTCACTGTGTCCACAGAGTAGATTTTCCTTTTCGTCCTCGTTAACATTGTGAAGAACACAGGAAGTGTCTGGCACATAACCTTCCTTTTTCATCTTTTCTGACAAAGTCTCGAGATAGCCATAGAGCTGTTCACTTTGTGGATGTGATGCATCTCCAGCTACGAACTTGTGAACTTCATCTCCAAATTCAATCCAACTGCATCCAGGTTCTTTTCTTACTCCAACTTTTTTCATGTTACGTCGAACCATGTTTGCCTTTTCCCAAATCCCAGCAGAGGAATAAATGTTGGAGAGTAAAACATAGTGACTAGCTACATGTGAATCCAACTCAAAGAGATTCCTTGCTGAAATTTCACCAAGTTCTACGTTGCGATGTATCCTGCAGGCACCAAGTAAACTACTCCAGGCGCCAATTTTGTTGTACTTAGAGGGCATCTCATTTACAAGCTGATATGCTTCTTCTAAATGGCCTGATCGACCAAGCAAATCAACGATGCAGGCGTAATGATCTGCAGTTGGCTCAATACCATAAGCATTTTTCATTTCTCGGAACAATTCCCGACCCTGATCGACCATGCCTGAGTGACTGCATCCAGCAAAAATTGCAATAAATGTGACATTATTGGGCTTCACTTTCCGTTCAAGCACCATCATCCTAAAAAGTTCTAAGGCTTCCTCTCCCTTCCCATGCATCCCATAAGCCATAATGAGAACATTCCATGTGATCACATTTTTGGTAGTCATGCTATCAAAAACTCTCCTAGCAATATCTAGGCAGCCACACTTTGCATACATATCAACCAATGCACTTCCCACGGCAATATCCATTGCCAATGCATTTCTAATAGCATAAGCATGTATCTCTTTGCCCTTTGCTAGAGCAACCAGCGAGGCACAACCAGGAAGGACAGTCATGAGGGTTATTGAGTTAGGTTTTAACAGAAATTCTACGTTATTCTCAGAGTCATTGTGTCTTTTTGTTGTTTGCATCTCATGTAACATAATAAGTGCATCTTCATGGTATCCGCAAACTACAAAACCGGTTATCATAGTATTCCATGAAACTATATCTTTACTCTCCATGTTGTCAAATATATACTTTGATATATTTATCTTTCCCATCCTAGAATACAAGTCCATCAATGCATTTTGAACGTATTTTTCATCTGAAAAACCCAATTTAATAACATACCCATGGATGACTTCTTTAAGGGTAAATGCTTCACAATGTACACAAGCCGGAAAAACACTTGCGACAGTGGTAGGGTTCGGACTCAACCCAGAGAATTCCATCATCTCTATAAATAAGGTCAATGCCTCTGTAAAGAATCCATTTTGTGTGTAGCCAGCCAGCATAGCATTCCATATCCCAATGCTCCTTTTCAAGGCACTGTCAAAAACTCGACTCCCACTTTCAACCTGTTGACAATTGCAATACATGTCAACTAATGAACTATCAACAAATGAGTTCCCAATCAAATCATCATTCTTCAAGACGTAACAATGAATTTCCTTCCCTACATCCAGCAAAGTCAGATGAGAACAAGCAGGAACAACACTTGAAATCGTGACTCCGTCAGGCTTTATCTCTTCTTGAATCATGACTCTAAAGCAATCCAACGCCTCTCGAAACTGGTCATTCTGTGAAAAAGAACTTATAATAGTATTCCATGAAACAATATCTCTATCTGCAAACAACTCAAAAACAGCTCTCGAATCATCCACCCTTCCTAGTTTTGCATACATAGACATCAAAGCATTATTTGTATAAGTCCTCCTATCATCTATTCTCAAACTATGCCCGTGTACTTGCTTGCCAAGCCTCAACCCATCAGTCCTAGGCAAATTACTACAAGCAAGCGCAATGCTCACCAACGTAAACGAACTAGCCTCAAATCCATCTAACCCTATCAACCTAAAAGCCTCCAATGCTAACTCCCACTTCTCAAATTTACAAAGAGCATTTATCAAAGAATTCCAAGAAACTTGATCTCTCTGAGTAATTCTATCAAACACTTTATAAACATCATCAATACTCCCACCACACCTCCCAAGTAAATGGATAACAGAATTCGCCACGGTGACTGATGTCGTATCATACCCAAATTTAACAACAGCCCCATATATCTGTTTTCCAAGATTCAAGTCCTGAAGGCCAGTAGCAGCTTTCAGAACAGCAGGGAAAACAAAATTATCAGGCCTTACACCTTCAGAAGTCATCTGTATATATGTAAAGATTGCTTCTTTGAAGCAATTTAAGCGTACTTGGGACCGAAGAGCATCGATCCATGAAGCTGCAGAGGGTGTTTCTGAGGTGGGTTCTTGTTGAAAATTCTTGAAAATGAGTGTACTTGTGGGTGATGAAGTTGAAAGTAGTTTTCTTGGTGAATTTTGGGTAAATGAATTGGAAGGCTGTTGAAGAGGAACAGAAACAGGGGAAGCAGAGAGTGTACATGTCCAAGCGGACATTGTTGTTAGTTAAGACAGTTTGGATAAGTAACAGAACAATAGTGATGAGGTTGTTTTAAGTTGGGATAATAACACTTTTGGTCCCTCGTTTATTTGCAAATATTAACTTTGGTCCTTATAATATAACTTTTAATTAATTATAATATGTGTTATTGATTTATCTATGTATGAAATATATGTGGGATACACTCCGATCTGCCATATCACAAACTCTTGTAGGAGCATGAAACTCTTAATAAAATGTCAAGAGAAGTGCTGAAAACATCTCTAAGTTTTGACGAGATTAATGTAGGGTGTATTTCACTCATGTTACAAGATCGGTGATTTATTTATGTTCAGTTAGTCAAGTAAAAAAGTGTAAAGGGGTGTTGTTTTAGGCCTGTCAATAGTTGGCCGGATGAAACTAATAATTCCCGCTTGCTGGAGAAGACTAGTCAACATATACGACTGATGATCAATGGTTGCATATAAAGGCCCAACAAAGTGACAAAATTTCACCCATCTAGCTGCATTTTTTTGACCTTTTACTATTCCTTCACCTCAAAGAAAATAATTATTCATCTTTTAAGAGTTTTAGTTTGAAGCGGCTTTTGCCTTGTCATTAAGAAAAAAACATGGAAATTTGGTGTTAGTTGTGGCGTAAGTTTTCATCAACTCAGCATTCATTAACTAACAATCATTAAGATGTCACACATGACCTAACAAGTCCCACAAGCCACCTTTTACTTGCTCTAATTAGCAACCCTTTCTGTATACTATTAACATCAAATATTCAACAAATGTCCATGATGATGCTTAAGATGTTAAGTTCCTGGAATTGGAGAACTCGTGTTCGGCTCTCAGTTTTCGTTGCAGCTGCTTTGCTACTTTTAGTGGTAGGATTCCTCTGTAGCAGATTTGATGATGATCAGTACAGGACGTTGATGAATAATATTCCAGATGATCACTCAAACATAGACACATCGACAACTATAAAGATGATCCATCCGTCAAAAGGACGGCCAGGTGATCCACCAATCCTGGCTTATTGGATTTTTGGTTTTAGAGGGGAAAGTAAAAGAATGTTGAGGCTGTTAAAAGCGGTGTATCACCCAAGAAACCAGTACCTATTGCACCTTCTCGATGGAGATGGAGATGAAGAGAGGATGGAATTAGCTGTTTCAGTTGAATCTGAACAAGTGTTTCGAGCATTTGGGAATGTGAACGTTGTTGGTAAAAGTTATGCTGTGGAGGAATCAGGCGCCTCTGCTCTTTCCGCTATGCTTCATGCCTCCGCCTTGCTCCTTCGAATTAGTCCCCTATGGGACTGGTTTTTCACCTTAAGCTCTTCCGACTACCCTCTTTTTACTCAAGATGGTAAATTTTTCGTGATCACCAGTAGCCTAACTAGTACTCCCTTTGTTTCAATTTATTTGTCTTACTTTTCTTTTTTGTCTGTTTCAAAAAAGAATGCCTCTTTCCCCTTTTTGGCAACTCTTTGATTCCAGATTTTCACATGACATGTTTAGAACTACAAGATTCAGAAGTCTTGTTTACTTTCTTAAACTCAGTGTCAAGTAAAAATCAAACAGAAAAAATTGAATCGGAGGAAGTAGTAAACTACTGTCTACTGATATAGTACTACCCAATTTACCTTATAATTACTCTGTAATTCTGCAACTAATTGATGATCCACACTTTCGATTACAGATATGTTATTTGCTCTCACTTCCTTGCCAAGGGATCTCAACTTCGTAGGCTTCACCAATAGGACTATTGATCGAAACAGGTAAGGTGTCACGACCATCAACGTTTTTAATGATCAAAAACACATTTGAATGATCACTTTTTCACGGATTTCACACCCCAACTATCAGTTATTCCCTTTTTCTACCTGAAATATTACCATCTAAACACACCTCAACTTCAATGCAGGCAACACAACTTCAATCGGATTGTTGTTGACCCCAGCCTACATTTGAAACAGGCTACTCCCCTTTACTATGCTGTAGAGACTAGAGAAGTACCAACAACATTTGATATATTCCAAGGTTGGCTTAATTCATTTACTTTATGTATGGTGTAAATTCCAACAATGATTTCATTTTTTGTTCTAGGTTCTCCATGGATGGTATTGAGCAGAGGATTTATGGAGCATTGCATCAAAGGTTGGGACAATTTCCCTAGGAAGTTACTTATGTACTACGCCAACGTAGTGTCACCTCTAGAATCCTACTTCCACACTGTACTATGCAATTCCCCAGAATTTAGAAACACAATAGTAAACCAGGATCTCAGGTACTCCGCGCCAATAAATGTTTCAAACTACTATGACAATCTTGTGAACAAATGGGCAATATTTGCTAGGCCATTTAAAGAAGGCGATCCTACTTTAGACGAGCTAGACAGGGATATCCTAGATCGCCAGCCCCATGGGCTGGTGCGCGGGAAATGGTGCAATAATGGAGGACACAATTCTTCTTCTTGTAGTTCTAATTCCAGTACTAATTGGGATGACATTGATTCATTAGATCCTGGATTTTATGGCCAAAAACTTCAGAATAATCTGTCCAATTTTACTGTTGGAGACCATTATATGGTAACCAAACATTGTCATGGCAATTCATCTTAATATATATACTCCATATTTGTTTCCAAATGATGTGTACTCTACTACTCTTTTTGTTTTCTGATGAACAATTTTCAGCCTCGTATTCGTTTTTCAGCTACGGAAAACGTTGAAAAAAATCCAACAAATCATAAGATAGGTACACATGTGTCGAAGGCGAAATAAGAAGGGCAAGTTACATATTTGTTTCGAAATCTCGATTAAGGTGAAGTCAAAGCTACTCGATCATTCAACAGGGAACGAACGAATTTAGGCTAAGATCCAACCTGCAACAAGCTGGACCGAAGCTCACCCATAGTTGGTTTTGGTCGTTGAAGCTTCGCCGTAGTGACAAAGCTTTCATAGTCCGAAGGCAGGCCAGCAAGAAGGAATGTAAACATATCAGATTGGGACACCGGTGCATTGATAGATGCCAAGGAGTCGATAAAAATAGTTATGTTCACTAGCCAAGTTACTGGTGCATATATATGATGTGGTGAATTTTGTTTTTCCATTTCTACTGCTAGACAAGTTGTTGGTGCATACAAATTTGGTGATTTTGAGTTGTTAAATGTCATTACTAAATGATCGTAGTAGTGAAATTTGTGGTTTTAATATTTCTTTATCAAGTATAGTTCTTTTATATACTCTATCCGTTCATTTTTATTTGTCACTATTTGATTTGACACATATATTAAGAAAATAATTATTAATATATATATTTTTTACCACATTATCTTTATTCTTTAGTATTGACTCTTGTAATATGATTTGGAGAATAGTATTTAATATTAAAGGTAAAATCTAAAAATTAAAATTATCTTTTCTGTCAAAAGTAACCGGTAAAATAAAAATCTATTTTAGAATTTTTTTTATAAGAATCATTGATTGATGCACCACATCATTCTTCAAATAAAAAAGAAATACTAACTTGTTAATATGCTCGTCAGCTATTGATATAAGAGAGCCAATGCAGTAGTCAAACACCATCTTTGTCATTTGTTTATCCATTACCTAAGCATTTTGGTTTTATTTGCCAAAACGATTGACAACCAAATCGAACCTTAAAAAATTAAATCAAACTGAAAAGATTTTGGTTTCGATCTCTAATTATTAATATTACAAATTTGAAAATTGAATTGAAACTTTTCTAATTGATGTATTTTAGGTCTAAAAATGATGTGATAATTTAAGTAATTAATGCGGAAGGTGAAACTGAAAAAAGAAATTGTTGTTTCTTAATGTGTTATTTTTTATATCCAAGTGTGTGATTTTATTTTCCTCAATTCAGATATGGTTTTCATTATAAAATATATTTTTTTAAAGGAAAAGTGAAAAATACTTTAACTTTGGCCGAAATTGTTGCTAAAACTTTATGGATGACGTTTTATCCTTGCACTATTTAATAGTGTATTTTAAAGGTATATATGATGTCTATTTAAAATATTTATGATGTCTATGCAGACACATATATACCTTTAAAATACACTATTAAATATTAAAAGATAAAATTTGATATAGCAATTTCGGCCAAAGTTAAATATTTTCTAGTTCAACTCCCAGAAAATATATATATTCAGATGAAGTAGGTAAGAGCAAAGCAAAGAGCAGATACAGAGAGTGATGGCAGAAGTCATAGGAGCACCAGCAGCTCAAGTTAAATCAATCTTTGTATATCCCATCAAATCATGCCGTGGAATTTCTGTTTCTCAAGCACCTATCACTTCTACTGGTATGCTCAATTTTTCCTTTAAATCTTGAAATTATTGTTTTTTTTTTCCTTTTTGGGTTTGTTTTACTGGTTATGGAGTGTAAAAGGGTGTCTTCTGGTAATTAAGATGGTGGGGTAAAGGAAAATAAGATAAAGTTGGTAGCTTTCCTCTTTTTGTGTTTTGGTTCATATGGAAGTGTAAAGATTTGAGAAGGTAGATTGCTATTGAAAAACAGTTTTAAACTTTTTTGGAGAATAATTATCTCTTTTCCTTCCTATTTGGGAAAAGTTGGATTTCCCTGTTCCTACTTTCAATATGCAAAACCAAATCAAGATTTGGACTTACTCATTTTTTCTCATTTCCAAAATGTCAAAACACAAAGTACTAGTATTAGCTATTAAATTTGTTATTCTTGTTAGAGGTTTGTTTTTGGCCACCTTCTAGTATGGAGTACCTTGGGACAAATTTGATGTCGTATGGTTTAGTTTCATTTTTTTACTTTTGAGTAAATAACATTCTTCATTAACTAATTGTTAGTGAAAAGTTTGTTTTTTGTTCCTACTTGTTTTTCATTCATATTATCAGTTGAAAATTGATATCTTGTTGCACTTAAACAGGATTTCGATGGGATCGACAATGGTTAGTGGTGAATTCCAAAGGCAGGGCCTATACTCAAAGAGTTGAACCGAAGCTTGCTCTTGTCGAAGTGGCATTGCCAACTGAGGCCTTTTCTGAAGGCTGGGAACCAAATAATGATTCTTATCTAGGTAGTGTCATAGTTTTCAGTCGAAAATAAGGTCATAGTTTTTAATTATATTTTTTACTATTGTATTATCTCATTGGTACAGTTTCTCTTTTTAGCTAAATGGTGCTGCAGCAAAACTGGTCATGTTTTTCTCCTAGCAATCTATTACTACTACTATAGTCGACAAGAAAGAGAGAGGATAATAAATGTTAAAAGATAGATCATTCTACTGAAAATGTTGATATGCTGAGCTAACAATCAGTGTTTGGTTCCCTGTGTGACTTAAGAATTTAAGATATAGGACATTGATGTTTGAATTGTAATATTGTTATTGTTTTTTTACTCCTTGTAGCATCTCCTTAATCATAGAAGCTTCTTGTCATACGGATAGCCCACAAGAAAATGACAAAGATTGGCCTGTCTTTTTGATATCTCAAATTACTTTTTGGATGTAGTTATCAGAGCTCCCGGTATGGATCCACTGAACATTCCACTAAGTAACCCATCTGTAGTGTCGGATGGTGTCTCGGTCTGGGAGTGGTCTGGTTCTGCCTTGGACGAGGGAGCTGAGGCAGCTATGTGGTTCTCCACACATCTGGGGAAACCAAGTCGGCTAGTTCGCTTTAGTGAAGGTATAGCTCATCCCATAGTTCTATCTAAATTTTCCTCATCTATATGTTACTCATATGAAATCACTGATGTTACAATATCCTTGTCTTAAATTTGCTCTGTATATCTCTTCCACCTTTTATGCTTAACTTCTCTACGTATTGTCCAGCTTTCAATACGTAGTTTAGAGAGCAACTCATGGCTCATGCTATCTCCTTTACTTCTTTTGCAAATTTTACTTGTTTTTTTGTGACAAGATTTGAGAAAATGGCTAGTTGCATAAGTCTAGGACCTACCACCTTGCATACAGTCAATTTCTTATGTTGCTTCACAGCTTTCATGGTTATCAAGCAAATGCTAAATATTAATTTTGGGAGGGAGTACTTTTCTACCAGAAGCTAAATATCCTTGAGCTGTTAGGAAGGGTTAAGAAAGCTCTTCACGATCAGACAGTCTGCTTTCTAAGAACTAGATTTTCATTTCATTAATTAGATAGATCTTTTTGGCCCCCATGTTTTGATCTCAGAATGTCATCCACAGAATTTGAACAATATCATTAAACAGTTGAATAAAGATGAATCAGGCATCGTTTTGTCCAAGTTTTTCACAATTTTGAAGCAATACTCAGCATTGAGTGGACCTTTATTTTTACAATTTTTTTGCATAGATTAGTGTATCGCCTATTATTAGGCTCATGTTCTTGCTTTAGTAGAAAACTGCTGGGAATAAATGTACACAATTTGATCGAAATAAGTTGCTGACTCTTATAGTTAAGGAAATGAGAGTTGTAGATCCTAATTATGCTCAAGGATACAATGTTATGTTTTCTGATGGATATCCATACCTCGTGCTATCCCAGGTTAGTACTTACTACTTAGTAATATCATCATTTAAATTCAACATAAACATCCATAAAACAAGAGCTTAGGCTGAATTTTCTTGGTCCATGCTCTGCAGGGATCATTGAATGCGTTAAATTCTCTTCTCAAGGAGCCTGTTCCAGTAAATCGTTTTAGACCCAAGTATACTCTTGTCCCTCTTGTACAATTTTTTTATGATTGGTTGTTTACATTCCTTCCTCTTTCTGTACAAACTGTTAGTACTTTAGATTAACTCAGTTAAATTTTTGATGTTATCTTCTTTCACAGTGTCCTTGTTGATGGATGTGAACCATTTGCTGAGGATTTGTGGAAGGAGATCCGGATCAATAAGTTGACATTTGAGGGTGTCAAACTATGCTCTCGCTGTAAGGTAAGACCTCGTGAACTTACTTTCTTACTAAACGACAGAGAATAACCTTTGCAAACTGGAAGCTGTTTTTTCCACCTGTTTTTTTTTTGTATAAAGTTCATGCAACATGATATTAAAAAGAAATTTAACACATCTGAGGGCCTTTTATAGCAACTCCATACGTAGTTTTGCTCTATAGTCATGGGATAGACATGAATTCAGACCTATTATTCTAGCAACTTGTTTGGACAAGATCAAAAGAGTCTAGTCATGTTTCTCCCTTTATGATGTTGTGATGAGTATCTTTGATTCAAGCTTTAACTAAAAGAATGGAGTTGATTATGGAACATATTTTTTATTTTTTGTAGTACTTAACCTTCTTAATTAACCTGCATTTGAACGCTCATCATCAAGATGAACTCTTTATATTTGACCTTGATTCGGTTCTTTATATAAGGTACCTACCATAAATCAAGAAACAGCAGTAGCAGGCTCTGAGCCAACAGAAACTCTCTTGAAATTCCGTTCCGATAAGGCCTTGCGTCCGAATAAGAAACAACAAGGGAAGGTAAGATCTAATAAAGTGAGAAGTTCCATAACTAATTACCTAATAATCCCTAGATAAATCATAAGTACGATCTTTCATGTTATTTTGCAGGTATATTTTGGACAGAACATGGTTTGTTCCGACGCTCTTAGCCATGGAAAAGGCAAGATAGTCAAGGTGGGGGATCCTGTTTATGTCCATAAGGCTGTTCCTTCTAGTGCTGAGGCTCCAGCTTGAACTCTAGTTGTTCTATCACTGTAATGTAAAATGTGCATCTGAATAAGGTGATCCCAAAAGATAAGAATACTAATGTAAGGAAAAATGGTCTTCCAGGCCACTGCTAAATATATCTAAATAAAAGGTTCGCCTGTATTTCTTTTCATCGTTGTGAATTGCTTCAAGCCTGGCTTAAAACTATGTAAATGTGAATACCAGCAAATATACCTCAAATCCAAGGAAGTTGAGGTCGGCTATGTGAATCCTCAATGATCATGTCATTCAATTTAGGCTCTATCTTATCCGGTATTACATAAAACAAATTAAATTTGACAAAAGGAGGGAAATGAAGTTTCTTTAGCATTTGGAAAGTATATTGAGCACTGGAAAACAGCAAAACCAATAAGGTCTAATATATATTATCACCTATACTTGTTTTCCTTGACAACACATTCAAATCTGGATCCAAAACTATTGCCAAATAAGCACATTTTGAAATTATAAGTATATTTGATTCAATGAAGGATAAACACTTGAACAGCGCTTCATCTTTTTTGGAAGTTAAGACGTTTGACTGATGCTGCATAGATGGCAAAAAAGAGAAAGCAAAATCCAGTAAGCATAACAGCAGACCACCAAATCATCCCAGGACCAAATCCAAGTCTGACTTCCAAATAGTTTTTTACTGTTCCGTCAAATCCAGGTCCTGTAATCCTTGTTTCCACATCACCAAGTTGAGAGCTAATGATGCCACGGACTGTCCATGCAACTGGGTTGATGTAGTAGAACCATATCCACCATCCTGGGATACTCTAAATGACACAAGGAAAATGGCATGCATGAAGACTAATTCATAAAAGGCTGTCTAGGGCAACTTGATGAGCAATTAGTTATAAAGGAGCCACAACAGTGAGATGTAGCAGAAATCATGAAATAGAGTCCAACTTCCAGTTTTTGCAGATTTCATAACTATGCATATAGTGTTCCACAAGGAAATTGTTCGTGTTTTGGTTGACCACTGCAAAATGTTATCTCAAGCAATCTAGTTCAACAAACACGACAATTGCAATTTTGACAAGTGATAAGGGAAGTAAGAATACTTACAGGTTTTGGAACTAGAAAACCAGACATGAGGTTCCACAATGAAAAGATAGCTGATGAAATGATGGCAGCTAAATGTTGAGTTGGTGTAAGACCAACAATCATCATACCAGAAAAGGTGAAATACATGAACGTAAGAAACATGAATAGTATGTAGAGGAAAAATTTGCCTGAAAGATATCCAAACAATACATAAGTGAGTCAATGAGCCCACCAACTCCAAAAGCAAGGAATACAATAGCTGTTACAGGTGCAATTCATGGAAAAAAGTCATGATAGTGCAATCAATTTATGAATAGATCTCAAAACCCGCAATATCAGAAAATTATGAATTGAAGTTAAGGATGTAAATGCACCAGCAGAGAATCTTATAGCCAACGATATATATTCAAATAATTTTAGACACAGTTTGCTCAGCAGGCCTTTCTATTTTAGATAATTTGTTGTAGTAATACTCATATTAACATATCTTGTTTACTAATTGTCATGTTTGGATAGTGAAATATGGTCAATTTGTAATGGAGGAGTAGTTCCCTCATAACCACAAAGTTCCATGTCAAGTAGACTATGATAGGTACTGTTTTCTGTTCCTAATTTTCATCTAAATCACTTATTGGTTCTTAAGCCTAACCCTGCTACCCCATGAAGAAATAATTTGTTTTGACATTCATGTTGCACAATAATTTTCTGCAATTTAGCAGATGCATGACAGCATATAATTGATCATAAAGAACCATGACCCGTGAAATTTATCATACCTGCTTCCCTTTCAAAGTTGATCATGAAATATGTAATGATTCCGTAAATTAGGGTCTGGATCATGACATACGGAATCTCAATAAGACCCTGATAGACCAAAAAAAAGAAAAAGTTCATCAGAAGTCATCAATACATATAATCAGATCCTTTTGACAATCAAGAAATTCATACAAATATAGTTTTTTACAAGTAAATGTAATTTTGTCTGTGAATATGCCAACCTGAGCTGCTGCATATGGTAGCGGGGAGTACATTCCTGCAGCTTTTTCCCTATAGAAAACAGTTCTTTCAATGGAAACAACTGGCTGTACAGAAGAAGCATTATTGACCCCCAGAAACAAGACCGAAGCATAAAGAGCCGCCATTACCACAAACAAATTTTGAGTTGAGTCCCTGTCAAATCATTTCAAGCATAATATTTTAACGGTTTGGGGTTTTGAGCAATCATTAAGGAGTTTTATATCAACCAAAAACAATTATCAAGATCCATAGCCATTAGCCCATTACCCAAAATTTAGAAGGCAGAAATAAAGGGAAGAAACATGAAGAAGCCAGCTGAAGCTCTACTTATTTATTTTCTTTAAAGTGAAAAGATACCTGCTTAAACAGTAGGACTCGTTTCACAAGACATCTATAATCTGTATACTGCTGTATTCTCTAATTATTAATAAAAGTCACCAAGCAATTTGGTTCAAGGTGCTTACTCTCTTATCTTTTTTCGTGAAGCAGAAGTTTTCTAAGGTTACTCTTGGCCGAATCTAACTCCATTTTCTTATCATCAGACCAACCTATCCAGCAGAACTTCTGAATTCCATTTCTTGCTGATGTATCCATCTTTAGGACAATATAGCTATAAAGATGCACGTCTTAGTCGGGAGAAGATTTTTCTAGTGCATAATGTGTACATTCTTCTACAAAAAAAACCCAGTATGGTTCAATCCAATGATTCCATTTAGCAGTCCTCTTGTTTAACTACAACCACCATTACTCAACGATGGATTTGAATTATAAAGATTTTGAAGTTTGCTAGCTTCAAAATAAGCTGTGCAGTTTTAAGCCATAGATCAATGCATAAAACAATGCTTAAAATAAGACCAGAAAGTTATACCAGAAGAATTTTTTTATAATGTCCTTAATATTTGTTTCTAGCTTTTTTTGACAAAGCCATCGCCCATCTCCTTATGTCCAAATACAACGCTAATGTACTCTGCGCTTAATAAATTGTGCTCTACTATTGAATTGTTACAATGTGAATGTCACACTAATTTCTAGTTTAATACTTCCCTTCAGCAAGTTATTTGAATCACCCTATGCATTCTTACCATTTTCAAGAAGTTTTTCCCTATTATTAAGAAACAGCAGGCCCGTCTTTCCTTCTGTCTTTTCCTACTATAAAATACATACCTGAGGCATGGTATAAAGTTGTATACTTGTCATTAAATAGAGAAATGACAAGTGAATTTCATCCAGAGAAACTAGAACAACCATCCAGTAGTTTGCTATGGATATCTGATAAAGGACATTTACCTTTTTGAACCAACATCCCAAAATACGGAACCAAGAATCAATGCACACATTGTTGTGAAGAACAACCTCATGAAATTATATGATGGATTTCTCCAGTATATGAGATTTTGCTTCCACAGGCAGATCTTAAACTGAGACACTGCACCTTGACTATATTTGGAAGTGAAGCCCATAGGTTCTGAGCTTTCAGGTGGGACGCTCAGACGCTTAATTAAGGCTTCAACTTGCCTATGTTGAAAAAATAGAACATAAACACAAGATTGTCAAAAGGCAACAGAAAAGAAGACAAATAAAATAATAAATTTCAGGAATTGAAACAAGTCCGCTAAGATCACCTGTACTGTTCAGAATTTCTGTATATTGTTGCAAAATCTTCTCCAAGTTTCGCTTCAGCAGCTGATGTACTTATCTCAAGCATCCAGGTTGCAGGATTATAACCACTAGGAATTGGGGGTATACCATGAATACCCTGCAAAATATGACCAGAAAGCAGTGCTGAGCAGATGAATCATCTCAATATGGAGATTGCAGTTGACAAAATTCACATTCAAGTCAGCAACATACATTAGAAGAAGCTTCTGGTCAATTTTAAGGGGATACATTCTACACATTATGAAAATTGTTTACCTCGAAATAGTAGAAACAACTACATTGAAACAGCTAGCGGACAGCCAAGTTCATACCTGAAAATAGTTAATCATAATTTGTGACTTCTCCCCAAGCTTTCCTCCATATATCACTTGTCCCCCGCGTTTCATTAGAAGAAGCTAAAAATTGTAGCATCACATTAGCACAACGCATGCTTTTTATCTATTTGAGAAAAACTGTGGTATCTTACCTCATCAAATGCTTCAAAAATTTCAATACTTGGCTGGTGAATTGTGCAGACCACTGTTCGTCCAGTATCTACTGTATTACGAACAGTTCGCATTACAATGGCTGCAGCTCGTGCATCAAGCCCAGATGTAGGTTCATCCATAAAAATTATGGATGGGTTTGCCACAAGTTCTACTGCAATTGTCAAACGTTTTCTTTGTTCGGTTGATAAGCCAGAACGGCCAGGCAAGCCAACCAAAGCATGCCTTAGAGAGTCAAGTTCCACTAACTCTATTACTTCTTCAACAAACTCCTGAAAATTAAGAAAGTCAAAGGGGTACTGAGTTTTAACCAAATAGATCAATCACAATACTATGAAATTAAATAATATGAACATAGAAATGAAGAAACAAAAAGGCATGGGCTCTACTAACCTGTCTTTGTTTTTCATTCACTTCTTTGGGGAGCCGGAGATAAGAAGAAAACCACAGGGATTCAAAAACTGTCACATGAGGAGAATGTATATCATTCTGTTCAACATATCCTGAAATTCTTGCAAAAGTCTCTTGTATTTTAGGGTAGCCTGATATCCTAATATCACCCTCTATATGTCCACAAGTCTTCCTACCAGCTAGGCAATCCATCAATGTGGTTTTTCCCGCTCCACTTGAACCAACCAATGCAGTTAGAACGCCAGGTGAGAATACTCCACTTACATTTGACAGTAGCTGCAACTTTTTATCAGGTATTCCTTTTGAACTCATTTCCTGAGAAACGGATATATGTTTCCAGCTTGAAATACGATTCATCATTAAAAAAAAAACGAAATTATCCCTAATGGATACCTTTGGCATGTCAACAAAGTAGTTGACATTATGGAAAGTCATCGTTAGTGGTTGGAAAGGGAAGATTATTCCTTTAGTTGTACTCACCCCCTGGCCAGGTCCTACGCAAAAGATTATGAT